GCTGCTGCTGGGGTTTGGCAGCAGCTCTTGCCGCAGCACGAGACCCAGAAGCCGCCGCAGCGCCTGGGTCACCAGTCTGCTGCTCCAGGCCAAAGAAATGAAAGACACAGGAACTCCAAACTGCAGCAAACGCAGCAGCGTCTGCAGCAGCAGCAGCAGCAGCAGCAGCGACGCGCCAACGAAGATAAAATGCAAAAGAGGAAAACAAAAGAAGCAGCAAAACAGCAAAAATAAAAACAGACAACAAATGGATTTCAAAAACTAAAAATCAAAAAAGAAAAAAGAAAAAGAAGAAAGAAAAAAGAAAATGAGGAAATGTAATAATGACTGAAAAAAACTGAAATGGTATTTTAAAAAAGAAACTAAAAATAAATGAAATCAAAGACAAATCAAAATTATATTTAAAATAAATACAAACGAAATAAAAAACAAATAAAACAAATAAACAGAAATTGAAAAAATAAAGAACAAAATACAATAACAGAACGCAAACTGAACAAAATAAAATTAGACAACTGAATGAATGAAGATAAATAAATAAACAAGTAAAATAATTAAAATAAACAAGTAACTTAAATTAACTAAAATAAATAAATAAATAAAATTAAATTGGATAAAAATAAAAATATATTTACCTCAAGTGCTGCTGGCCGTGGCGTTTGAGTTGGACTTTCGGGAGAGAAAACCAAGTTGTCAATATCGCCTAAAAGTAAAACAAATAAAAAATGAAATTAAATTAAATTAATTTAATTAAATTAAATTAAATTAATTAAAACAAATAGATTAATTAATTAATTAGATTAATTAAATTAAATCAAATTAAATTAAGTTAAACTGATTTAATTTATCTTCATTTGCTTTAATTTGGTTCAATTTAATTTGATTTAATTTAATTTAATTTAATTTAATTTAACTTTATTTTATTTAATTTGATTTGTGAAAAGGAGTTGAGAGGAGAATTTGAGAATTGGAGGGATTTGAAAGTGGGGACAAAAAACAATAAAATAAAATTAATTTAAATTAAATTAAAATTGAATTAAAATTAAATTAAAATTAAAGTGAATAAAAACTAGATAAAATTGAAATTAAATGAATTAAAAAGAATTCTAGAGAAGCCAAATGAACACAAAGAAACAAAAACACTAAACCAATGAAAAGAAACAAAAAGAATTAAATAAATAAAAGAATTAAATAAATAATAAAAAATTAAATAAATAAAAAATAAAGAGATATAAAACAGTCAAAAAAATAAAAAGAAACGAAACAATCAAACAAATAAAAGAAATAAAAAGGATTAAATAGACAGAAAGAATAAACTAAAAATGAGGAATTAAATAGTTAAAAGGAATTAATAAATCAAAGTAAATAAAACAATTAAAATAAAAACATAAAATAACTAAAATTAAAAAATTAAAAAATTTACTATTTCGAATTCCCTTGAGGAGTTTTTTGGTGTTTTGCGTCGAAGCCATTTGCTGCTCATATTTGTCTAATGCATGCAGCAGCCCAGACACGCAGCCCCAAAAGTGCTGCTGCTGCTGCTGCTGCTGAAGCTGCTGCTGCTGCTGCTGCGGCTGCTGCTGCTGGTTCTGGTTGGGCTGCTGCTGGTGCTGCTGCTGCTGGTTCTGGTTGGGCTGCTGCTGGTGCTGCTGCTGTGCGTTCTGGTCGTGCTGCTGCTGCTGCTGCTGGTCCTGGTCGTGCTGCTGCTCCTGCTGCTGCTGGCCGTGCTGGTGCTGCTGCTGCTGGTTGTGATTATGCTGCTGGTGCTGCTGCTGCTGGTTGTGATTATGCTGCTGCTGCTGCTGCTGCTGCTGCAGGAAGCCGTTGATGATAGCAGCATAGCCGGAGCTGTAGACGCGTACAGCCTCTGCTGCTGTGGCATCGAAGGATGCTGTTGCTGCTGCTGCTGCTGCAGCAGCGGCGTTGGGGTCCGTTTCTGCTGCTGCTGCAGTTGCTGCTGCTGCAGCACGTGCAGCAGCAAATAGCGCGTCCGTGCTGTCCCCACAAGGGACCTGGGGGGCCCCCGGGGGCCCCTCTGGCAGCTTTTTGTAAAGAACAGTTCCATCCACATCTACAGCCACCAGCAGCAGCTGCTGCCAGATCCCCTGGGGCCCCGACACGAGCTGTTGCTGCTGCTGCTGCTGCGCCTGGGGGACCCACGCAGCCGCTGCAGCAGCGGGAGCAGCAGCAGCAGCAGCAGCAGGCGGCACTGCTGCAGACCCAGTCCCCATAGGCCCCTCTTCGGGAGCAGAGCCGGCCCAGAGAGCTGTCTGTACACCTGAAGGAGCTGCCTGTACACCTGAAGGAGCTGCCTGTACACCTGAAGGAGCTGCTGCTCCCTGTACACCAGAAGCAAAACCCCACACAGACAGACCTGCTGCTGCTGCTGCTGGGGGGACCCCCAAAGAGAGTCTTTTTAAGTTGGGATCATTGCCGGCGGCAGCAGGGGGAGGGCTGTAGGCGGCGCCTTGCTGTTGATGCTGCACCTGCGCGCTGCTGCTGCTGCTGCTGCTGCTGCGGTTGGTGCTGCTGTCATGCTGAGCTTGCGTCGTAATTGCACACTGCAGCAGCTGCATGCACAGCAAGGCACACAGCAGCAGCAGCTGCTGCTGCTGCCGTGCCATCTCAGCGGCTGCAGCTCGTCAGCTGTGGGGCCCCAACGCCAAACTTGCTGCTGCTGCTGCCTTCTGCTCCTTCTCCCCAAACCTTTTCAAAATAAAAAGCATTTAAGTGAAAATTTTGATCTTTGCAAAACAAAAAAGCGCCTTTATGCCGCCGACGCTCTCCCCCGATCGTTCTTTGCCCGAGCCGCCAGCACCAGCAGCAGCAGCAGCAGCAGCAGCAGCAGCAGCAGCAGCAGCAGCCGCAGCCGCAGCAGCAGCACGAGCGGAGA